GCGAAAGCAAAATGAGTCTGTGCTGCTTCTGCACCGCATACACATAGGCTGTATACGCACTGCAGACGGAGATGGAGTACGTGTGAACTTGGCGCAACAAATCTAGTTCAACATCTGAGGCAACGCCACAAAGAGCTCTGACCAATGCATGGCAAAAAAAATCCCTGGACACAGGTATTTTTTTTTTATGCCATGTCTATTCTAGAGACATTTTGTTACACCTTTACTTAGTGATTATTTTGCCTTATGTCTGTTCTAGAGACATGTTACAGCTTTTTGATAAAGCTCTAATTGGTTTTCTTTTGGAAATATGTTTCAAATTCACACTGAATGCATTTATGACTGTAAAGCATGTCTGTGTGTGTCAAAATCGTGATTAAAATCGAAATCGAAAAATTGATAGAAGATATCGCGATAGGTTTTTTTTGTCCATATCGCACAGCCCTAAATGAGACTGTACGAATTAGTCCGAATGAGACTGTCCGAATTAGTCCGAATGAGACCATACGAATTAGTCCGAATGAGATCATATGAATTAGTCCGAATGAGACCGTACGAATTAGTCCGAATGAGACCATACGAATTAGTCCGAATGAGACCGTCCGAATTAATCCGACTGAGACCACACGAATTAGTCCGAATGAGACCGTCCGAATTAGTCCGAATGAGACCGTCCGAATTAGTCCGAATGAGACCGTCCGAATTAGTCCGAATGAGACCGTCCGAATTAGTCCGAATGAGACCGTCCGAATTAGTCCGAATGAGACCGTCCGAATTAGTCCGAATGAGACCGTCCGAATTAATCCGACTGAGACCACACGAATTAGCTTGAATGAGACCGTCCGAATGAGACTGTCCGAATTAGTCCGAATGAGACCGTACGAATTAGTCCGAATGAGACCATACGAATTAGTCCGAATGAGACCGTCCGAATTAGTCCGAATGAGACCGTCCGAATTAATCCGACTGAGACCACACGAATTAGCTTGAATGAGACCGTCCGAATGAGACTGTCCGAATTAGTCCGAATGAGACCGTACGAATTAGTCCGAATGAGACCGTACGAATTAGTCCGAATGAGACCATACGAATTAGTCCGAATGAGACCATACGAATTAGTCCGAATGAGACCGTCCGAATTAATCCGACTGAGACCACACGAATTAGCTTGAATGAGACCGTCCGAATTAGTCCGAATGAGACTGTACGAATTAGTCCGAATGAGACCGTCCGAATTAGCTTGAATGAGACCGTCCGAATTAGCTTGAATGAGGCTGTTCGAATTAGTCCGAATGAGACTGTCCGAATTAGTCCGAATGAGACCGTCCGAATTAGTCCGAATGAGACTGTCCGAATTAGTCCGAATGAGACCGTCCGAATTAGCTCGAATGAGACCGTCCGAATGAG